CCATTCGAAATAACATTCAATCGCGGCTCCTTCACCCAGCCGATCGTCAAGTGGCTGTGTGTGTTTAAGTGTTTCCGTGCAATAAAGCTTCGTTTTCGGACAATCAATCAACCAACCGGTCGTGTGTTTTTGTGACGTGCGCTCCAAAGGCAAGCGCGCTGCTCTCGCAGCGTTCTCGAGTTGCGTGTTGTAACGCTGGCGCTCTTGTTACAGGGAACTAGAACAAAGGGTTAGTGGAAAAGGTGTCGGCGGCGCCCCATCGGAAGCGTGAATCCAGTAGTTTAATCTGTCGCGAGTGGCGCGGTTGTCGAAATCCGGAGGACATGGCTACTGTAACATGGGATATGGCGTCGCGTACGTTCTCAGATGGTTTCTGTGGTGTCTATGGTCGTTTTCGCAATTTGTTTTCGTCAATGTCAAATGCTTGGCATTGTGGTTACAAAGGTTCCAGTCTTCTCGCTAAGCAATGAAAACGAAGAGAAAGAAAACGGATGCGCACGCTACGCGCCAGCATGCAAGACTGGTTACCCCAGTTTTCACAACATTGTGGAAGTAAGCTTTAAACAATATTTCACAGTCGTGAACTCCCATAAAGAATACACAGGCCACACTACTGAACCGCAAAGACAAAAAACAGCTACGCTTGGCGCGACTTTCGTTACCAGGAGTGCTCCGGAATCGAGCAGCAGCGCTACCTGGTAGGTTCTACACGAAGCGCCTCACCTGGAGGCCGGTTATTTTTCCACTACTCCTATTCTAGTTCACTGTACTCTAGTGTCGTGGGCTCAAAATGGCCTCTCCCGTCTGAGTCCACCTTTGGAGAGCGATAACTGAATAAATACTGAGCCGCTTCAAAAGCCCTCGGGCATATGCGTAAAAAAAATAATTATATACTGCTGAGTGTCGCCATTGATAGCACGATTGACGGCGCGAATGCCCAAATTTCTATCAAACGCCCCCTTTTTGACTGATCTTGACGTCTGAGGCAACTTCTGGAGAGCGATAACTAAATAAACTCTAGGCCGCTTCACAAGCACTCGGGCAAAGGCGTCATAAACCAAGAGAACATTAATTATAATGAATTATAGACTGCTGAGTGTCGCCATTGATGGTACAATTGACGCCGTGTATGCCCAAATATGTGTCAAACGCCCCCTTTTTGACTGATCTTGACGTCTGAGGCAACCTTTCGAGAGCGATAACTAAATAAATTCTGGGCCGGTTCACAAGCAATCGGGCAAAGGCGTCATAGACCTAGAGGATATTCATTATAATGAATTATAGACTGCTGATTGTCGCCATTGATGGTCCAATTCAAGGCGCGCATGCCAAAATTTGTGGGAAACGCCCCCTTTTTGGCTTATTTTGACGTCTGAGTCAACGCTTAAAGAGCGATAACTAAATAAACTCTTGGCCATTTCAAAAGCACTTGGGCAAAGTCGTCATAAACCTAGAGGAGATTCATTATAATGCATTAGAAACTGCTGAGTTTCGCCATTGATGATCCAATTGAGGGCGCGTATGCCCAAATTTTTGGGACGCCCCCTTTTTAGCTGATTTTGACGTCTGAGGCAACTTTTTGAGAGCGATAACTAAATAAATTGTGGGCCGCTTCGAAATCACTCGGACTTATGCGTCATAGACCTAGAGGACATTCATTATAACAAAATATAGTCTGCTAAATGTCGCAATTGACAGTACAATTGACGGCGCGTATGTCTAAATGTGTGAGAAACGCCCCCTTTCTGACTGATTTTGACGTCTGAGGCAACCTTTGGAGAGCGATACCTAAATGAATTCTGGGCCGCTTCAAAAGCACTCGTACATATGCGTCATTGACCTAGAGGAGATTCATTCTAATGAATTCTAGACTGCGACTGCCGACTGTCGCCAGTAATGGTATAATTGACGGCGCGTATGCTCAAATTTCTGGGACTCGCCCTGTTTTTGCCTGATGTTGACGTCTGAGGTTGTGATGATTTAAGGAATACTGGACCGCTTCAAAATCTCTCGGGCGTACGCGTAGCAAATCTGCATAAGATTGGTTAATTAACAGTAACAGCGTGCTCAATGTCGCCACGAGTGATACTCTTCATGTCGCGTTTGCCAGGATGTCTGGACCACGCACACTCATTTTGGCATTTTTAGCTTTAATACCATCCTTGAAGTATAATAGCTCGAGAAATGGAATGCTGGCACTTTTTAAAGGATAGTTCGGATGAAAAAACGTTTTGTTTCCTTAATTATTCAGCACTTTAAGCATAATGTATTCGTGCTAATTACGCTATGAGAACAAAAAAAAAACTGCATTTAGGGTTTGTGTTTATAATTTAAGAAAATATTCAGTGTAGTTGCCGTTTAGGTATACATTACATATGTTGCTAAGATGTATTTAGGAACTCAAGAATGTCAGTGAATTATCGAGTTTCCTCACCAACTGTGGCTTCTTTTTGATATCTAAAGTCCCGGGGAACCACTTTAAAATTAAGTAATTTGAAAATAAAAAAAAGTGTTTCCATATAGCTAGACACATTGGCTATATATATAGCAAAATGCAACTAAATTGGTGGTGTGGTTCTCTTGGGGTTTGCATTGAATGTTGAAAAGACGTACGATTTTTCTGCGGTTCGCCATAGGAACCAATGAGTAAAACTTTGATTGCATTTCGGCGAGACTTAATATAAACCTACGGCCACAACATTTTTCGTGCAGGCTGAGGGCAACGTAATAAAAAGTGAAACAAAAGTGTAAAGCGATTGAGTGATTAGTTTTTTGTTTTTTTTTTCTATAAAAAAGATCGCTTTGGTCCATTGAGTTACGGGCGCCGGCGCGACGGCGGCCGATAGATGGCGTGTGTAGTGGCGGCGCGCGCCTGTATGGGAACCTTGGGGTTGCTGAAGTTGAGTTCAGCACTGCGTTTGTGTTACTTCTTTTCGTCTGGTTCTCGTCTTTTCGCGCTGTTTTTAATTCCGAAGTTTAATTTCTTGTACAGATTAGGGCTGCTTACAATATGTTCAACGTATCTTTAAACTTTACGTTCTGGGCACGTACGATGTACATTTAGACTCGTCGTTCCGGCTAAGTCCGACGTACCTTTAGACTCCTCGTTCCGGCCGGGTACATCCGACGTACATTTAGACACAGCGTTAATGTTTTTTTGTAAGATCAGCTTCGGTCTATGAAAGTTATGTTTGAACATCGGTTTCTAAAGTTTTCAAGCCCTGTTGGCTTAGTTATTGACACAAAGATTATAATTCGGAAGGGTCATCTCCTTTTATACAAGGCAAATACATTCAATTATTGTATTTGGCATGCAGAGTGACAGAAATGTGACTAACCGTTGAAATTTCATAATTTCTATCTGTTTTAATTGGAAGCAGTCACCCAACGAATGATACAGCAACGGCCCGCATCATACGTTGGGAAAACAAGAAACTTCCCGGAGCGCCTACCCCAGCATCAATATTACGTAAAAAAGAAAGATGTGCAGGGTAATGCGCTGCCAAAACACGTTGCGAAGACAGGTCAGGCTATTGCATTCGAAAACAGCCATACTTGTGACACACACAAAAAAGATAGCGAAGACACCTGCTCTCAGAGCCTCGGCACCTTCAAAACACCAACGAAAACATCAACCAATCAGCTAGGACACTTCCAAGCGCCTACATGTTCGGTTTACGATGTGCCATGCATGGTGCATCGAGCTGTACGTCGTCAGCAACAAACACGAGGAAACAAGAACCCCTTCAAGAGAACAATGGGCTCTACGAAATACGTCGACATTGACAAAAACACTCACCTGTGATCAAGGGGCCGAGCTGACCTCAAAACGTCAGTATGTTTATTTCCTTATTATTTGTGGTTAGTACCTTGCTCTTCACAATTTTACCATTAAGAATTGGGTATGTTTCTAGTTTAGACTGTATCACCATGTTGTGATTTTGAATCATCTTAACGCTTGAGGCACTTTTAGAATTTATTATTTGGAAGTTTCGTAGTCAACTACCCAGTTTCAACAATCGGTCGCGCTAAATATGGCTTTGACGTTATTGCACGTTGATCAATAGAATTTTAGAATATCGTTTTTCCGCAACAAACCAAAACCCAAGAATCTCGCGCTTGTAACATGCAATGATACAAAGATGTAGTCCCCGCTATCGATTGACACAAGAAATACAGTACCATATAAAATGCGGTTTGGTTCTGAATAAAAGTTTATATTTGTTTGATATCAAAATGCGACACGGCGGCCGACCAGTAATGTTATATACGAGCGGTCCTGTGCCGACCTTCGCCGAGAGGAGTTTACACGTCGTGTGCAGCAACCTGCCGGTGATCGTTACTCTTATTGGTGGGGTGTTTAAACACTGTCTGGAACGTTTATTGCTTTCACGTAGGAAAGATACGTGGTTCTGTATCGAAAAATTGCAATGTCCGAGGACGCGTCAAACGATGCTCACAACTCGGCCACGGTTCTGAGAGCCACTTCTTCATGCCTCGAGACGGCGACGGAAATGCGTTTTAACGCAAATTTCAGCAAACAAGTTTTTTTTTTCTTTCAAAACAAAGCGTGGGCATCAAAAAAAAAAAAAAAAACGAAAACAGGTTTTTGGCACGGTGGATGCAGTGGCGACGATGCTATTTCCTTCTGTACACAAACCTTATATAGGGTTGTGCTATGCTAAAACTCCCTACTATTTTAGTGTCAACCTCATGGCCGTTGTTCTTATTGTGCGCTTCTTTTGATTGTACTCATTTTACTTAAGCTTGCCTGAAGGGAGACGCGTAGCTAGTCCTGTATTTTGTCGTATATATTAATTTCTAAAATTAGCATTACAATATATAATGTGTTTTATGTAGATCCATCTAACTTTAAATGAACATCTCTAGGGACTTTCAAAGATATATTTACTAAATCTATTAAGAGGTCCATATTTTCGAACCTTGCGCTATTTCATCGCATGTTTTATTGTTTATTTTTGAACAATTTTCATGCTTACCCTGTCACAGCAACCGTAATATCTGCGGGACTTCTTCCGTACTTTTGAAGAAGGTGCTGATAGGTTTCGTTTGCGGCTGCATAGGTTCTGTTGGCCACAAGCCAGCCAATTTCCGTTTCCACAAATGTTTTCGCAAAACCCTAGAGAGAGAGAAACACATATTAAAGTGTTTAGTGACCGTGCGCAGACGAATGCTTTTCAATATATTCTATTACTTTTCACGCTTACGGCTGGGGCAAGAAATCAGCAAAAACAATATTGTGAAAGCGACACCTACCTGTTCCTTTTGCACGGAGGTGAGCAGAAACTGAGTTTTTGGAACTGACGTGTCCTCATAGCGCATGTTGACCTAGTTGATAATAAACGATAATGATTACAACAAACCAGCATACATTAAGCCCGATACATATTTATACATTTTTTTGCCCCTTCATTTTAAAGTAGTGTAACATCCGAGATCAAGGATTCTAGAGGCGTCAATTTCGAGTTACAAGTCGCCTTGAGCCAGGCTAAAAAAACAACATGCACCACTACTTACTTCATTAAATGGGTTGCAAATTTTCCAAGAATAATGTTAGTTCATTGCCGTGAAATATAAATTTAGGGCATGGTTTGTTGCAATATTAATGTTTGTATTGACTATATATTAAACTGAGGGGTAGGGTAATCTTTAAAAAGTAGTGGCTTGCCAAGTAGCGGCTAATATTACCTTCAATATCGGGCGCAGACAAAATTGCAAAAGCTTGGCAAATAAAAAAAGAACTAAAGATATGGGACTATGGGAAAATGATCTCTAATTTGCGGGATTTATACTTGGAAGAGAGGCAACAGAAAAGTCACTACATCGTTTGTTTCTAAATATATTCTTAGAGGCAGTCTGGTACGAAATTGCCTTCGAATATTGAAAGAAGCTGCAGATTCCTCGCCCTCTTGTCTGTTTCAGTTAGAAATTACATTTAAAACCATTTCAAAGGAACTGCTATACAACCTACGTTTCCCGAAGTCTTTGAATATATATTACCGTAGGAAGTGTAGAACTGGTTCTTAATATTGCGATAAAATCATCCATTCCACTTCCATTCGGTAGATCTGAAACTTCTGAACTACCGAATAGATGGTGTCTTCAATGCTGGGCATATCACTCTGGTTCCCTCCTTTGCACGCGTCACTTAGTAGTAGGGAAGTGATGTGCGGAAGCCCAAGACTGATTTCACCATCCAATTTGGTTACGACACCGTTGCCGATAAGCATTGATGAAAATTCAGTCTTTGTGCTCGCGGGGGAACCTCGCTGGACCTCTGGGCGCGCAGAGCACGAGACGGCATGACCGTCGTGTGTGCTGCCGCAGGCGTCTTCAGAAATGCAGTTATGGTTGTGTAACGCACACGTGGGACGCTTAGTAAAATCCATCTATTGTGATACTGATCTAATCTCTAATCTTCTGAACGATCTCCTATACCGAGGGGGCGTGAATAAAAATAGAACGATGAGAAAGTTTATTCAGCGATAGGTGAGCGTTCTTCCTGATTATTAAAATACTGCATTTACGCTGATGGTTTGAACAGGGGAATACTGCTGCTCATATTTTGATCCCAACGTTCGTAATAAAGCATTAATTTCCTGCCGCCAAGCTTTATCATTTCGCCTTTAAATGTGATTGGCTTCCACTGACATTTATACCCTTGTTACACGGGCACACTTAACTGCGGTTACGATAAGCCACAGCTAGCGCACAATACTTGCCGACAACATTCTGCGGCTATGCAGTCAAAGCTATGGGCGAACGTGCGCTCGAGCATCTTGAGCACCCATCAAAGCAGTGCACGCGCGCTCTTCACTTCTTTTGGAATAGCTGTCCGAGAGTATAGTGCGGTATCTGTGGTGCCGCGCAACAGCAGTTAAGCTGAGTTAACCGCGGTTAAATGTGCCCGTGTAACAGGGGTATTATTTGCTTTGGGCATGGGTTTGCGTCAAAGTTTTTATTTGCATCAATAATTCTCGCGCACCTCCGATGTCAGAATTCTCGAAATTCCCAACAGCCTTCCGATGACCTTTCTATGAAGGGGTTCATTACTTTCCATTGTTCTCCACCGATGAGCATCTGGGCAACGCATCTATGGGTTTGCTGGTGGTACATACATTCAATATTAAGGGCGAGAATGTCGTCTTGGTTACAAGCTGGTGGGTATTCCGTGTCACCCAAGTACCGCCATAGATTGATCTTGCCATGAGCGCTAGTTCTGGATGACCATGACCCGTCACCTTTGCTTAGCGTCATTACTCCATTCCACATGAATGTGCGCAAGTTCCAATAACTCTGCCATTTTTTACTCCAGTGTATTCCATCTCATACTACTTTGACGATATGTGTGTATTTAATAACATCTATATAGATAACGTTAAATTGCTGCCATCAAAGTAGGCTTTCGGGATATTCGTCCTAAAAACCTGGGTAATTGGTTAGCCACTTTAAAAAATTTATTGACGGCCTAGAAGTTTAAGTATGTGCCTTAAATGTGGAGGCAATGTATTTGCGTAGTCTGTGGTTTAACGTTCGTGTCCATAGCATCTAGGTAGGTAGCCCGTGTCAGGTTGTTTTCGGTGAGCCAACTTTATATAAAAGGAAACCTCTAAATAACCTGTTGGAAGGCTTTTATGTGGTGGCCTTCTTAGAGGGCAAAATCAATTTACGTGACCGCAATAAAAAATATAAAAAAACTGACTTTTTGGGGAAGTGTTAGTTGCCATCGGCGTAATTTCGTGAACTGCCTGCTTCCTTCTTGTGAACCTTCGTTGAAATCAGCAACACCACTTCTAGTGTCTTATAATTTGACAAAAATTCACATTTTTGCAGAAATTGCTTTTTTATGTTATATAAGCGTCATCATAAACTAAGCACACGACGATGCAATTAGCAATAATTACCCAATTTTGGAATGACAATTCACTACTAATTTTTATCGGCCTCATAAACTTCCCCCTCCTCCCTCACCACGCATTTGAGGGGAACGTGTGTAGTCATAAACCAACACAATAAAGCCTGGCATAAGTATATTCGATCGGTTATAAATTTTCTATCCGCTTTAATCATACCTCAGTGTCATGTTTAGTGTTCCGACCTTTCCTGGATAGTAAACAATTCAGTATAACAGATCGAAGCAACATCACTTAAGAAGTCGCAGGCAGGGCATACAGAGATGTACTTGAAGAATTTGAGACACATAGCAATGTGCGAAGTAGGGCGAGTCGGTACATGATAATCATATATAAAAAAACATGAAAGACACAAGGCGAACAAATTCTATTTCCGTGTTTCTTCTTTTTTTTTTCTTGTATTGTATTTTGTTCTAAGAAATTGAGGGTCTCCAGTCGGCGTTCTGTTTGTGAGTCTTCTACGTCCACTCGTTTACTTTTTTTTTGCGTTGGCATGCTCATTTTTATTACATTCTGAAGAGTAGACTCACGCAATGTCAAACTGTTTTGAGTGGACGCAAAAAAGTTCGCGGCGAGAAGTCGGTCTTGTGCAAAAATGGACTACTCCATAAAATACCTTTAGCTTGCGGTTTTAAGGAAGTCGGGCAAACTTCATGGTGTATCAATGACGGGTTAATAGAACATAAAAGAAACATGAGGAATAAGGCTGCAAATTTGGATTTGGCTGAACATGAGGAAAAATGCGATAATTTTAGTGCACAATAATCAGGAACAGAAATACTAGACCAAGATGTTGATAACAAGAAAATAGTTGTAAGAGGAACAATCCGGAAAAAAAATGAAAGCCGTTTACAAATCCCTGTAACGTCGAATTAGAGCGCAGCTCCTGAGGAGGAGGGAAGGGCACTGGGGGGTGGGTTAAGTGACGTTGGGGGTCACGTGACCTTGTGGGGGTCACGTGACCATGGGTGTCACGTGACGATGCCGATGACGTCATCAGTGACGTTACTGATGACGTCAGTGATGATGACGATAACGATACGGATGCCGGTGACGTCATTAGTGACGTCACTGATGACGTCATCAGTGATGAAGAGGATGCCAATGCGGATGCCGGTGACGTCATCGGTGACGTCACTAATGACGTCATCAGTGATGATGGCGATGACGATGCGGATGCCGGTGACGTCATCAGTGACGTCACAGATGACGTCATTAGTGGGGATGGCGTCAACGGTGGTCACGTGACCTCGGGGGGAGGGGGTCACGTGACCTTGGGAGGGGGGTCACGTGACCTGGGTAACCATCGTGACCCTCGTGAGGGTAACTCTCGTGACCCTCGTGAGGGTAACTTTCGTGACCCTCGTGAGGGTAACTCTCATTACCCTCGTGAGGGTAACTCTCGTAACTCTCGTGAGCCTCGTAAGGGTAACCCTTTTGAAGGCAACTAACCCTCGTAACCCTCGTGAAGGTTACGAGGGTTCGTAACCCTCGTAGCCCTCGTGATCCTCATGAGGGTAACCCGCATGAGAGTAACCCTCGTAACCCTCACGAGGGTTACGAGGGTTATTCGCGGTTACGCCGACGCCGACGGGGGGAGGGGGTCACGTGACTTCGGGGGGTGTCACGTGACTTCGGGGGGGGGGGGGGGGTCACGTGACCTCGGGGAGGGGGAGCCACGTGTCCTCGAGAGAGGGGGGTCACGTGACCTCGGGGGGGTCACGTGACTTGGGGAGCCACGTGACCTTGGGGAGGGGTTACGCGGCCTTGGGGGTCACGTGACCTTGGGGTGACCTTGGGGGTCACGTGATCTTGGAGTGACCTTGGTTACGCCGACGGCGACGGCAACGCCGCTCAGGCCGGAAACGGGCGCCTAAGAGCTGCGCTCTAAGAGAATAGTAAACTCTGTTTGTCAGGCCTCTATGCAACTTTGTAGTATTTCAAAGAAAGTTTTGCAGCGCTTGTTTCGCATTGTTTTGATTGCACAATTTCTGCAAGTGCTTTGTTCATACCCTACATGGTCTTTCCTGTGTACTAGAAGTCGGAGTTAAGAGGTTCGGTCAAACAAGCAACTTATTCCTCCCCTATTATTCCCTTTTTGTGTGGTTGGTCGATTTCTTTTATTCTTTGTCCTAGAAAAAACTGTTTTGTTCGATCAAGACTCGATTGAAATTACCAGTGCGTAGATGACGCGCCAAGGATGCAAACGTTGGCTATATGTCATGGTGACTTCTTTTTGTGCTCTATTTTGAGATAGCCGTCCAGAAGCTTTACGTCTAAACCAAACAAATATATCATTGTGTGCGTGTATGTCCGCGGCACTAGTGTCTCTTTTAAAACTCCATAATTTCGCTCTGGAGGACCTGTAAGGGAAGCTCCAACAGATTTTATAGCTGTCTAATTCATGGGCATCAT